GGTGGGATGACTCTGCACGTATAATCTACATAAAAATAGCACCGACGGAATATATAAAGATTTACAAGCCGGATTCTACCAGTTACAGTGTGCATGAACATGATTGGCCTGTCCATAGGCTCTTCATCTGACCGCATGCCACGGATTAGAAAGATGCTAAAATCACACGAGACTGGTAGGGCGCAACACGGTGCTCGGATACGCTAGATGGCGGACTCTCCACTGTTCACCATGATAGGTGTAGACTGCTGCACCCACGCGCAGCAGAACAGCAGCGATCGTCGCGGCATCCAGCTTTATGGGGTTTCTGAAAAGTTCTTGAGACAGTATAAAATGAACTCGGCGTAGAATGCTTAGGTAGTCATTTCACGAAGATCCAATTAAGGTACTGTGGGCACAAGTTGTGGTCTCCGCTCCATTCTCGTACGGGGTGTCGATTCCAATGCACGCATTTTCTCGAGATAGCGTGCTTTATCACAGTACAGGGTGTGGCTGACATGATGCTAGATGTCCCATTTACCTCAATGCGTGGACTCATGCACGGATAGCAGAGATGGCATAATGCAGTAGGACTGGGAGTGCATTACAACGTTCTCGGATTAATCGTGAGATGCGAATCTCACTGTTCACATGATGATGTAGGTACTGATCGATGACCACTAACCAACGCAGACAAGTCCGATCGTATGGCCATCCAGGCTTTTTTGTGGTTCATGAAAAGTCCTTGAGAGTATAAAATGGATCGGACTATAGAATGTTAGGTAGCTCAATTCGACGAGATCCTAATAAGTACGTGATGGGCACAAGTTGTGGTCCTAGCTCCATTCTCGTAAGGGTGTCGATTCCCAATGCACGCAATTTTCTCGAGATAGCGTGCTTTGGCTACGTTGTCTATAGTGAATCAAAGTGATTGTTCATACTACGTACACTTCAGAGATATTCAGACAGTTGGCAAATGTGCATACACCAGATGTTATAAAACGCTGCGTTTGATAGCTATATGCAGTAAAATCGGTGAAATTTCTGAACACTCGCGATGTAAACAAAAGTCCATGAACATATGTGTTGCGTGCAATCTCGCGACGCTAATAAGCCCTGCGAAACCTGACCTGTGTAATCTCATTGAACTCTAGCGGAGCACCCCAAATCACGCTGATAAACCTGTCCCGAAAAATCTGGATCCACCTGCTACTAATATCTATTGCAATAATAACACTATACTATATAGCGAATGTAAAATCGGTGATTGTGCAGATCGGCAGATTATATAGACTGGTACCCGCTCCCACCTCTCGGCTTATAGTTACTCGATGGATGCATTACCCATCGAGTAACTAAACCGAGAGGTGGGAGCGAGTACCAGTCTACAGATTACACGCCACACATGTTCGCTCTGTTTGTAACCGGTATGGCCGGCGGCACGGGATTGTAGGTAATATTGCTATTTTTTGTCCAAGACGCGGAACCCTCTATAGGCTTGTGTGTGTGTGTGGATTATTGTCTCCGTGCGGATACGCTCGGCTATTGTGCGGGACAACTATTATGCGGAAGCAAACTGTGCACAGCAGCACTCTAAATTGCATTAGCTGTCAGCGAACCCAGCTCTCTGGAGAGGGTCAATGCCCTTTTCGTATGCCGGATTCCGGCCTATTTAGAGAGTATTCCGTACGCCGAGGTGCGGTACGCCGTACGCGGCGATGACAGTATAACGTATTCCGTACGCGAAATAATTGATACTATAATCGGGGATTGTGCTTTTTTCTGAACTTTTCCTGCCCATTTTTTAATAAATGTTGGATCTATTTACCCTGCTAACTGGAAACGAGACTGTCCCCGCACGTAGGATCGCGAACAGACGGGAATCAATCGAATCCAGTCGGTGTACCAGTCTAATGTTAATGAATGTATACAACTAACCTGTATAATACCAGTCGTCATGTTACGCTTGACTGCGTTCGCTACACTGTTCCAGCGAGTAGGCCCTAGCGGCCGTTACGAGCAGGAGCGGTAATCATTAACGTTAGTATACAACCGGAACTTATGCCCCTTGTCGTGGGTTGTTGCATTCTGGGACTGATTTAGGCCATTTACGCGCTTTTTGCTGTGATGAAGTGTTGAAGAGGCCGCAAATATATATACTACCCAGGCGCGGATTTAGATGGGGGCACATCCGGCCCGTGCCCCCCCTTTTGAAACCAAAAAATAAATAAAAAAATTACATTATTAAAAAAATTACAAAATTACAAAATTACAAAATTAATCATTATTGTTCTCAATTTCATGTTGTAAATACGGTTACAAGATTGACGGTTCCAGTCAGAAATTGTGACATAATGACTATTTTCATGATGTTACAATAAATATTCGAATTTGTAGTCATTCTTCTGAATTTCTGCAAAGAAAACATCTCGGGTATTACTAAGATTTGATTTTTAATATTGTTGGAATATATTTTTGGCCTGCAATGATTATATGTCATACACTGTATGTACGGATGTTTTCATTTAGGGAGAAGGTATATTTTATTTTGCTTCTGTAATGAAATCGCCACATACTCATTACTAATACAAACTTTTTCAAGTTTTGATATTATTCGAGTTTCAGATATTTTTTTTAAAGTGCAGTATTTTTCTCTAGATGCAATAGTTATATTTGATATGTGAATCTGTGCTTCTGTAATACCACATGTCATGTCGAATATTAAGGTTTAAAACTTCAGTGTAATGTAATTTTCAAGGTACATGTGACGGTCTTGCCTCCCACCCCCGCGCCATCCGACAGGCTGGTCAGCGCATGATCAAATTTAACACATAAAATGATTGCTGCAATATGAGTTATAATCCCTTTACAGATGACCACAGGATTGCACATTTTAAGCTAAGAGAGTGATAAAAACTCCACAATGGGCGACGTGGTACAGGGGGGTTCCAGTGGGTTCGAGGACCCCCCCTGCTGCGCATGAAAGCATCTGGAGGGGGTCTAATATTCAAAAATTTTTCCCAGGCACCCCCCCTTCGCGTGTCGTAAGTTTGGGGTTACGCGTTAGACCCTTGTCCAATCCTGTACACGCCATGCC